AAAGATCGGGTCGAGCCACTAGTGATGATAAAAAAGAAGTTGAAGTCAAATCTTCATTCATTTGTCGTATGATATTCCACTCTGTGTTCAAATTCTCTATTCTGTCCTGAGCACATGGCAGCCCCATTGCTGGTAGTGCCTCACTCCACTCAACTATTGGTGTTTTATAGGACAGGGATCTGTAAAAGCTACATAGAGTTTGAGTAGAATCTAGAAGTCGCTGTTGTAGATTTTTAAGAACCAAGTCTGTGTACTTTTTCAGTTGTATTAACAAACACTTGTCCTCTTCACTTAAGGATTCAATATAAATGCCTTCATTAGTCAACTTCTGGACTGAAGTCTTTGCTTCTTCCAGTACTTTTTCAGTGGATAGCTCTCTGACTGATCCAAATGTAGCTTCTATTGCTGGACAAAGATCTATTACTGTAGTAGCAGATGCCTGGATGGCATTGTTTGACCCAAGTGCAGAGGTGAAAGTAAGCCGGTACGCCCCGGTACGGCGTACTGGCAAGAGCCCATGCACCGTACCGGGGCGGATCGGCTTCCCCTGGCGGCAATTTAAAGGGCCTGGGGCTCCCAGCAGCGGCTGGAGCCCCGGCCCTTTAAATCGCCGCCAGAGCCCCGCTGCTGGAGCCCTGGGGCAGGGCCAGCTCTGGCTTTTTGGCCACCCCAAGCAAAAAAAAAAAACCCGGAGCGCGGGTGCAGGGGGACCGGCTGGGGGCGGGGAGGGAGAGGGAGCGGGTGGGAGAGAGAGAGAAGGGGGCGGCCAGGGCTACAGCAGTGGCGCTGCCACGCGGCCCCTCCCGCTGCGCCGCCTCCTGCCTCCTGCCGCCTGCCGCGAGGGCTCCGCTCTGGTCGGTGGGGAGGGAAGGAAGAGGACTGCCCTGCAAGACGCTCTGGTTCTCCGCGCCGCTGCCCCCTACAGGTATCTCTTGCTTAAAAGAAAGTAGGATGCCACAGCCATGTTTGTTCGCATGAACTGTGTTGTGTCTCCAGCATTCTCAACAGCCTCATTAACACTCACCGGTGTTGTCCTTGGTCAGTGGAGACTCAGAGTTCAGAGGTGCTTTCACATGAGGTCACCTCCCAGGTGGGGAGCAAGAAGGCACCTTGCTTGTTCCTCCAGCTGCTCACTGTTCACTCCGGCCACTGTTGTTCATTGTGCCACTGTTCACTCCATCGTTCTGTTGCCAATGGCCTTGCACCGTGACCTGCCACTGTGACCTCTGTGAGTTGGTCACTTGAAGTTCCATCCAACTCTCAGTGATTTCAGCTGAGTTCTCAGTGGGGGAACCTCACAGCTAGTGCAGTCTGGGCTGTCTCTTCCACAGAAACACTGTCCCACAGCAAATCTAAGCACTTAGACCTGATTATCAGTGATTTCAACTGCAGTGGTTATTTAACAAAACAAAAGACTATCTGTGAAACCTAATCAGCTCTGTCTTTAAACAGTGGAGAGGGGCAGGTCAAATAGTGCTTGTGACTCAGGCAGACCATCAAGCAAAACACCTGTCCCCACCCTCTCTCTTGATGCCCTAAATCAGCAGAGGCTAAGTACAGTTCTACTGCTCTTTACTTATACAATAAGAATAACATTTCATTACCCCCTCGCATTCAAGTGATTTGTAACCCCACCCCAGCCAAAATCTATCACTTGGGAAACACAGATCTGTTTGCTGGATACCTAGGTAGATTACGTGTGAATGTAAATACAATCTGGTCCTGAAGCCTTTCCTCCAACCCCGAGCTCATCACTAGCTGTCACGGAGAGCTTATTGAGACTTTGCTTACAAATCATCATTTGAAATTATTAGGTTGGCCAACATCACCAAAATGAATGCACTGACATTGTAATAAAAAACAACAGCTGTATAAGGAAGCTAATCTATGTTCTTACTTTTCAAATCTATTACACTTTTTCAGATACATGTATTTTATCATACACTTTATATGCTTCTAAAGTGTGTATTAATGTTCCAATTTCAATTCAAATTTTCAAACAATCACTAAATTGGCAACACTACATGTAACTAGTTCACAAAACTGGGGGGCGGGAGGGGATTGGGGAAATTCAGGAGGGGTGTATACACCCTATGGGGAGGTGAAGGGGATGTAGGGAAATCCCTGGTGGCTTCTGGTGCGTTGTGTGTGGTGATGGTTTTATGTTTGTTTGTTTGTTTGTTTTTAATTTCCCGCCGGAGAACGTGATTGGCTCCCGCTTGGGCAACCTGTTTTACAAGGCTGCTTGCTGGGTCTGGCAGGAAACGAAACTTATCTTGTTACACTGTCTGCAGGGAGCCATGGCTGCAGCAGGGAATCCTTTGAAGAGCCTCCGAGATGAAGCTACTTGCTCCATTTGTCTGAGTTTTTTCAAGGATCCAGTGTCTTTAGATTGCGGGCACAATTTCTGCCAAGCCTGCATCACCCAGTGCTGGGAGGGACCAGATACAGACATCTCCTGCCCTCAGTGCAGAGAGACCTTTCCCCAGAGGACCCTGAGGCCGAACAGACAACTGGGGAACATGGTAGAAATCGCCAAGCAGCTGAGTGTCCCAGCAGCAGCAGGAGGAGATTTGTGCAACGCGCACCAGGAGCCTTTCAAACTCTTCTGCAAGCAGGACCAAATGCTCATCTGTGTGATCTGCAGGGAGTCCCAGGCGCACCACGCTCACAGGGTGGTCCCTATAGAGGAGGCTGCCCAGGAGCACAAGGTAGGCCACGGCTGGGCATGGGGCTGGGAGTGGGGCCGGAAGCAGAGCCCAGGCCACAGCAGATGTGGATGCAGTGGTGCTGGAACAGTTTTTGGAATGGGGGTGTTACACCCATCTTACTCCTGTCCGCACCCCCGAGAGCTGGGGCTGGGAGAAGGGCCGTGGCTCCGGGAGGGCAGGGGGGACATGGATAGTGGTAAGGTGGCTGAGCGGGGCCCTGGGCCGGTAGCGTAGCTGCCCGGCCCCCCGCGACCCAGCGGGGCCCCAGGCCAGCAGCCGGGACGCTCGAAGCAAAAGCTGGGGGTGCTGCAGCACCCCATGCACCCCTACTTCCTGTGCCTATGTGTGGCTGGCACTCCCCTGCCCCCTGGGGGGGCTGGCCTGGGCCCCACCATGGCCCCCCAAACATTCCTCCGCACACCCCTAGGGGGCACGCTCCACAGTTTGGGGACCACTGGTCTAACCAGTCAAGGTGGACAAAGTGCAGGAGAGGGAGCTGAGGTACAGGGAGGCAAAGGCTGGGGATTCACAGTGAGGTGCATATATCTGGGGTTTAGGCACCTAAATGCCAGTTCTAGGCTCCACGCAATCCCCAGAGCTACTGCCAAGCCCTGTAGGAGCCCAAACTCACTCAGTGCCTGTGTATTCAGGGTACAAATTCTCTCAGTGCCTGTGTTCTGCCTCTGGGCATGTTCACAGCTGCCTCCCTCTAGAGGCTTCTGGCTGCCTGTCTCCTGGCCACACCCATGAGCTGGGTGAAGACAGGTGTTCTCCTGCCTCTCTCACCTGCAGGGCCTGATCTGTGGGCACCCTCAGAGACAAAGATAAAGGAATGGGAGGGGCAGAGAGGCACTGAAGGGGCAGTGACTTGACCAAGCTCACAAAACAGCTCAGTAGCTGAACCAGGAATTAAACCCTGCCCCCCTAATGCCCATCCTAGTTCTCTAGCCACTAGACCACACAGCCTCTCATCACTCCGGTCAGGCACTGCTTTACAATCACATTATAAACCGCTCCGCACAGCTGAGTTTCGACTGAGCCGGTGCCTGGCGTAGTGCCCAGCTTGAGCATTTCGTATCTGATGACCGCTGGCTGCTTCCTGGAAGCAGCAGTAACGTGACATTGTCAGCAGCGTTCTCAATGGGTTCCTTTCCTGTTACTTTCTGAAGCATAAGATGCACTGAAAGATTTCTGCTTAAAAAACCAAGGTTAATCTGCTTAATTTTTTCCTCAAGGGAAAACCAGGATGATGAATTCCTGTTTTCCCGGGCTTGCTGAAGGCTGGTCACTTTGCTGCTCCTGAAACAGAGCGGGGAGTCAGGGGAGGCACAGCCCTGCATGGCCCTGCCCACCCTCCACTCCCAGGCCCCCTCCTGCTTCCCACCAGCATGCTGCGTCTCTTCCCCCCTGTGGCTAGGCTGGGGTTAGCGGGGGGCTGGCCTGGCACACCTGGGGCTGGGGACCTGAGAGCTGTGCTGCCTGCCCGCCTGGTGCTCTGGGGTAGAGGGGCCAACTGTCACGGTGGGTGGGCTCTGGTGGGGATGGGAGGGGCCTCAGACAGAAGGGGCTGGTCTGGTGGCTAGCCTCCCCGAGCCAGTGATTCACGTCCCGCCCACGCGTACTTTAGAGTTTTGCTTTGGGTTTATGCATCTATTTGAACCATAAACTCAATGTAACATTCTAGGGTCCATGAAGTCCAAGTGGATGGAACCTTAAAAAGCCTGTTTGACAGAGCAATCCACTCTGGGCAGAATCTGCTGTGCTGTCTGCCACTCTAGCTTTAAGGACAAATTGGACTGTATTAGTGCCACAATAAGATTAAAGGAAGAAAAAGGCTGATTCCCAGGACCACATTGAGTCTCAGTACTGGAGCACCTCAAAAGTGAGAACAAACCCTTTCCCCCGTGCCAAACAATCAAGTACAATATTTATGAACCTTGTGAGTGTGTTGGATTTTTAACCGGGAGTTCCTTTCTCCCATTAGGCCCTGGAGTTTAATATACACTTTTTTAAAAAGTGTTTTAGACACTCTTATCAAAACTCCCTTCCCTGTAAGTTGCTTGGCTTTAACTCTCTGACATCCATATCTCTTCATATACTGTTCCCTGTCATTGCATGGGAGCAGGGCGCCCTATCCTACGCTGCTGGAAAATGGATACGACTTCAACGCCTTCAACGCAACCCTGCAGCACTTGGAGGATTCGCTGGAGGCAAAGGGCTGTCTGGACAAAGTCCCTAAGCCTCTACATCAGGTCTGGTGCCCCCAAGGCCTCTCTGTTCCCTGGCAGCGTGACACATACAGCATAGAAGTAATGCAGGGCTGAGACGCCCAGCTGCCATTGAAATGAATGGGAGCTGTGCTTTTAGATCCTCTGTGTGGCTCTGCAACACCTCACCCCCTGGTGAATTACAGAGGAAGATCCTCGGAGCACATTTTCAAAAGCACCAACTAACTTTAGAGCCGAAGTTTCATTTTCAAAGGAGATTTAGTCCTGAATCCCCAAAGGGACTTGGGTGTTGTGATGCTCAGCATTGCAATGCCTAACTTTTAGGCACCTAGAAAATTACTAAGGACATAAGAACAGCTGCACTGGGTCAGACCAAAGGTCCATCTAGCCCAGTATCCTGTCTTCCGACAGTGGCCAATGCCAGGTGCTTCAGAAGGAATGAACAGAACAGGGCAATTATCGAATGATCCATCGATTGTCATCTGGTCCCAGCATCTGGCAATCAGAGGTTTAAGGATCTCTGGAGCATGGGGTTGCATCTCTGACCATCTTGGCTAATAGCCATTCATGGACCTATCCTCCATGAACTCATCTTTTTTGAACCCAGTTATACTTTTGGCCTTCACAACATCCCTGGCAATGTGTTCCATGGATTGATTGTGTGTTGTGTGAAGAAGTACTTCCTTTTGTTTGTTTTTTAAACCTGCTGCCTGTTAATTTCCCCTGGTTCCTGTTCTGTGAAGGGGTAAATAAATTTCCCTATTCACTCTCTACACCATCCATGATTTTATAGACCTTTATCACATCCCCACCCCAATTGTCTCTTTTTGAAGCTGAACACTCCATCTTTTTAATCTCTCATCATATGGAGGCTGTTCCATACCCATGATTTTTGTTCCTTTCGCTGTACGTTTTCCTATTCAAATATATCTTGTTTGAAATGGGGCCAATAGAACTGCATGATGTGTTCAAGATGTACAATGGATTTATATAGTGGCATTATGATATTGTCTGTCTTATTATCCATCACTTTCCTAATGGTTCTTAAAATTCTGTTAGCTTTTATGAACAGATGTTTTCAGAGATGACTCCAAAATCTCTTTCATGAGTGGTAAGAGCTCCTTTAGACCACATCATTTTATATCTATAGTTGGGAGTATGATTGCCAATGTGCATTACTTTGCATTTATCCACAGTGAAATTCAGCTGCCATTTTGTTGCCCAGTCACCCATTTTTGTCAGATCCCTTTGTAACTTTTCACAGTCTGCTTTGACTCAACTACCTTGAGTAATTTTAAGCCCTGCAGACTTTGCCACCTCACTGTTTACCCCCTATTCCTGATTATTTATGAATATGTTAAATAACACTGATCCCAGTATAGATCCTTGGGGGATCCTAGTATTTACCTTGCTCCATTGTGAAAACTGACCATTTATTCCTATCCTTTGTTTCCTATATTTTAACTGGTTATTGATCCATGAGATAAGGTTATTGCTTATCCCATGACTGTTTAGTTTCCTTAAGAGACTTTAGTGTGGGACCTTGTCAAAGGCTTTCTGAAAGTCTAAGTACACTATATCCAGTGGATCATCCTTGTTGACACCCTCGGAATTCTAATAGATCGGTGAGGCATGATTTCCCTTTACAAGAGCTGTGTTGATTCTTCCCCCAACAAATCATGTTCATCTGTGTCTGACAATTTTGTTCTTTACTATAGTTTCAATCAATTTGCCTGGTACTGAAATTAGGCTTTGTCTGCAATACAGTCTATGTCGCCAAAACTTACGGTCGTTCAGAGTTGTGAATATTTCACCTCCCTGAGTGACATAAGCGTTCATGTGCACAGTGCTATGTCAGCAGGAGAGCTTCTCTCGCCACCCTAAGCTTCTGCCGCTCGTGGAGGTGGGTTTATTATGCTGATGGGAGAGCTCTCTCCCATCTGCATAGAGCATCTCCACCGCATGCGCTGCAGTGGCACAGACGTATCGGTACAGCTGCAGTGCTGTACTTATCGACAAGCCCTTAGGCTTACTGGCCTGTAATTGACAGGATTACAATGGGAGATGCTGCTGAGGGGGGTGTGTCCTAAGCCCTGGCCCCTCAGAGTTTGGTGTAGGAATGTGCCTGTCTCTGTGATCCACACCTGGGAACCCCTCTCCTGGAGTCAGGCGGTTTAGACATCTAAGCTGTTTCTTGCACGATGGAGTGCTGCACTTGTGTCACTCCACACAAAACATCTGGGGAGGAGGCAACAGACTTTCATAATGGTTAGCCTGGGGGAAGGGCGCTCATCTGGTAGGTGGGAGACCCTGGTTCAAGTTCTCCCTCTGCCTGATGAGGAGAAGGGATTTGAACCGGAATCTCCCACCTCTCAAGAGGCAATTGTGACATTGCCACGACCACTGTCTGTGGGACAGCCTGAGAGGCACATGCAATGTATATAAATGTATCTGTGAGGACAGACTCCACAGCCCCCTGACCCTCCAAAACATTGTTTTTCTTGCCTCAGGAACAAATTCAAACTCGACTGAACACCCTGAAGCAAGAGAGAGAAGAACTTCTGGAGTGGAAACAGGATGGAGAGAAGCAAAGCCAGGAATATCTGGTAGGTGCCCATTGTTATGGTCCAGCAGTTACATCAGTCAGAGTTGGTATCTCTCTGTGTGGGGAGAGTGTCAACCCTGGTCTATACACAGCACTGCCTGATTTAACTATGGCGACATCTACACTGCACAGCTCTGGGGGCGACCTGCAGGGCATGTGTAGCTACACAGCACAGCTCTGGGGGCGACCTGCAGGGCATGTGTAGCTACACTGCACAGCTCTGGGGGCGACCTGCAGGGC